GTACATGTTTTAATTATTCATATATCTATATATGTGGCTGAGACGTATCGTTCATACTCTTGGCCGCATAGTCTTTGCGCCACCAATACCCGAGGGCGATGTTGAGATACAAAATAAGGTGGAGAAACACAATGAAGTCGTACTATTAAATACCGGTATTCCTAAACCTTAAACACTCGGTTATCGCTTGTGGCCATAATATATGTAAGAATTCAGAGAATGTTAGGGTTTGATTATTTTAAACTAAACCCTAAAGCGGACATACTTGTTTAAAAAAAAGGTGGAACGAATCTTGCGCCTCTAAACAAAACTCGCAGAAGCACTCTGTAGTTTTATTAATAATAATTGTTTGGTGGTCCCGATCTAAGTTTCCAGATTTCTGCATTCGCCACCCAGGCGCTTGGCTGTGATACGGTCAGACTATCCATTGCTGGGCGATGTTTGTGACCAATACGCACCCACCAGGATATCCAATCCCCCACAGCCATTTATATATATTAGTCTATATAAGCTCACACACGAGCACAGCACATGCCTGTGTGCACACGTGTGCGTGAAGTGTCGGGGATGCAAGAGTGTTCAGCATACTAGGGCGTTATTCCCTCATATATGACGAAATAGTGCCGCTGAACCACAATGTTTTCTCTCAACATCCCGTCATAGGTCAGGGTAAGCGATTTACTGAGATCTGAAGATAGTTCGGACTACACTGTGGTGCTTTGTACATACACACATGCATTTGGTTCATGAGATGCTATGTGAATGCCAGGTCTATCAGCACTTCCCGCGTGCTAAACTAGAGGTGTTGCGGTGATGTACGCTTGCAGAGGATAGTGTTGTCAAGCGTCTGTTGAAACGATATATGTATATGCGAAGCACAGTCACTATAGAATATAACTGCCGCTCACTGACTAAATAGTCAACTCGTCGCAAATAATTAACGACGTGTTGCTTATTGGTACAGACGAGTCGACACTTGACTGATCAGATAGTCAATAGACTCTGGCAGTTGCCCTGTATCCTTCTTTGACCACAGCAGCTCATCTCCCATCGCAACTTCAAAGGCGCCCTGAATAGGTCGGTGGAAAAACTTGGTTTATATGAATAGCGACGTGGGTGGTCAACTCGGGTATCTGAAGTGTGTATGAGAACTGCGGCACAGATTGGGTCAGGACTCAAATAAAAGCGTGTACTGAGCACACTCGTATGAATGTGGATCAAGTGGGACTGACATGAAGTACATACACGAATGTACCGCACTTTTGCAGCACTTGAGATACGTGCGTATGTGATTACAGTAGAAGCAGATCCTTCTGATACGTAGATGTAGTACTCCACCAGTCAGCCATGCATAAAGTATGCCTATATGCACGATTGCGTATTGCAGGTTCTTACGTTTTTGCATATAAATATACATACGTATATATTGATACTCACATGATGTGCCAGCTGCGGCATATATATATATATATATATGTATATATATATACATATATGTATATAAACATACATACATACAAACACACACATATGTATATATATATATATATGTATATATATACATATGTATGTATGTAAATATGTATAATATATATATTATATATATATACATACATGCATACATACATTTATATATATATACTAGATGACAAATAGTACATACCGTGGTAGTGAGTTGGGCCACGAAGAAGTTGCCGACCAGCCACACAATACCAAGATACATCATCTTGGACCGTTGGATGTCGTGGTACCACAACGGCGTGGGTCGATTGAGTGCGGCACAGAACTTATCTCCAAACACAATAAGCGCAATGCACGTCATCTGCAGAATAGTTGCCATCTGTTTATAACAACGTAAGAAGGACAGAAATTAAATACATGTATATCGACGCCGGTCAGTGATTTGGTTCGTGAGGTCTATGGCCTGGTTATTCGTGAGTTGCATACCGACTCATCGCAAGGTTGTAGAAGCTCAGAACCAACAAGGGCATTTGTGACATCTGGAGAAGTGCAGGCAGCCGTGCGAGAAATGGATGTAAGCCTTCCAAACGAGCGTAGTAATAATTAAAGACACAAATAAAAACAGAACTGATTCAAATACAATTCAAGGCCACAAATAGAAACATAACTGATCCAAAAACAATTCAAAGCCACAGATAGAAACAGAACTGATCCGAATACATCCGAATACAATTCAAAGCCACAAATAAAAACAGAACTGATCCAAATACAATTCAAAGCCACAAATAGCAAAAGAACTAATCCAAAAACCAATTCAAAGCCACAAATATAATAAGAACTGATCCAAATACAATTCAAAGCCACAAATATTATGAGAACTGATTAAAACTTATACGTGTACATACATAAGAAGAGAACCATCAGCTGATGCAACCACACATCCATGCAATTGTAGCTTTAACTGGTAAGGATAAGCCGACCATTCCTTCGACTCTTACATCTATTCACACCGATCGAAATTAGATGTACATATAGGTATAGAAAACATAGTACACTCTGGAACACATACAGGTAGATAGGAAAATTACTCGCTCTACCATATATGTACCCTTTCAATAGCCGCATTCATTGGTGACGGCAAGTCCATCACACCTCCAAATCTTCTGCAGTTCTAGAACTTGCGCATAACAGCGAACCACATATATATAGTTACAAATAAACACGCAGGCATACGTACACCACGTACACCACGTACAGCATTTAATTGCACACAGACGTGTTATATCTGAACACATACTCTGGCAATGGCCGCATTCATTGGTGAAGGTGAGTCCACCACCCCTTCAACCTGTAGGCCCTGGAAGTTACGCATTAACTCCTGACGGACTTGGATGAAGAGGTTCTTATACCCTCATGAGGAGCTACGTATATGTGTGCAATTAAAAATGTGTATAAATAGGTGAACCATTCTCTAGAATATATATATATATATATATATATGTATATATATATATATATATATATATATATGTATATATATACATATATATTACTACGTAA